ACCCTGAGCCGGTGAGATTTGAACCGCTGAACTGCTGATCTAGCAGTAGCCTGCAGTGCTGCATTTAACCACTGCGCCACCTCGGCTCTACATTCTGTGCTCTAAATCCAAAGCCTTCCGGTAGCTCTCTCCACATTCATAGGACTCTTCAGAAATTATAATGGCACCAGTCCTGAGCAAAAGCCGTCATTAAACTGGGAGTTCAATGCCTTCCCTTTGTGTCTGCTGTCCTTCAGGCAACTCAATGGTTCATTCGGCAGAGCAGAACCACAAAGTGGACGCTTCCATCCATTATAACATTCCGGAACTGCAGACTTCCAGCTGGGGATCTTTGCCGCAACAAAACGGGCAGAAAGACCCCCAGCACAAGGGGCTGGCTCCTCCAGAACACCAGAAGGTCTCCGATTCCGAAGAGGACGAGGAAGAGGAAGAGGAGGAGGAGGAGGAGTACCCCAGACCAAAATGGCACGGGATCGAAGCAGTCTTCGAGGCTTATCAAGAGCACGTCGATGGTAAGGATGGCGTGGTCCAGGATGGCAGTTTCTCAATCTTGGCCACCTTTTTTAAGACACGTGGACTTCAACTCCCGGAATTCCCCAGCCAGCTATGCAATTGAAAGCAATTGAAAGCAGAGGGATCGGGATTTGTTTCCCATCAACGGGATTTGAAATGCAAAGCGCTAAATTTTGATAGGGTGGAATTGACTTAGGCATTGGCTGATTTGTTGATCGTGGTCATTACTGATTGCTGGCCACCGAGCAGGGACAGTGCTTGGAGTTGCCGGCGATAGACTAATAAACGAAAGCATCCGCCGAGAACAATAATCCTTTGTTTTCTAGATATTGAGCATTTAGTTTGGCCAAGTTTCCAAAAAAAAAAAGAGAGGGCGGGGGGGAAAAACGGGGGGAGGAGGAGAAGCAGACATAATCACCCAAGTGTGTGTTCGCCAGACTGCTGGGAGTGGGCAGGACTTCATTTTTGCAATCTGTTGCAAATTCCATTTGCGATCCAGTAAGCTAATTCTGAAAGGAACAAGATGTTAAAAGGCCATTCTTTTTTCAAGGGAAAAAAAACTCCTATCTATCTTGTCTGTCTGTCTGTCTGTCTGTCTGTCTGTCTGTCTGTCTGTCTNTTAATCCCAGGTTGCTGGATTAGTTTCCATCGCTTGCTTCTTTTCCTGCCTTCTGGTGCTTTGAAGAAGAGGTTGACTCCCTCTTCTTTTGGCAACCCCTCAAATATTGGAGCACTTTTAGCATGTTCCCCCCGCCCCCCGTTCTTCTTTAGTGAAGGATTAGACATACCCAATTCCAGCAATCATTCTTCGTATGTTTTAGCCTCCAGTCCCCTAATCGTTCTGCAGTTTTCTGGAGGATCCAAAACCGTATTTTTATCTTAGATTGTTTGCCTTGTCCCGAGTCTTGAAAAACACTCCCGCCAATCACCTCAACTGGCTATAACTCACACTCAATCCCTTGCAAATCCCTTGCACAAAGTGGTTCTTGCTTCCTTTCCTTGAGCCTTTAAAAACCGTCTCTTGCAGATAAAGAGAAGTTGGCAGAGATGCTTCATGCCATGAAACAGAAGAATGCCTGCACGGCACCGCCAGTGAAAAACTCCCCACGGGACAGCCCCACTATTGTCCAAGCTGGTAAGTAGCTACCGTATTTCTCGGCGTATAAGACGCACCCAGATTTTGAAGAGGTACATTTAAAAAAAAAAAAAGTGTTTGCACTCTGCAGACGTCCCAAAACCTCTGCACGCCTCGTTTTTTTGTGAAAAATGGGGCATGCACAGAGTTTGACAGGCCTGCAAAGTCCTCCTGGGGGCTGGGAGGGGGACGGACAAAAAGGAGCAAAAAATGATCAGTTTTTCATGAAAATGAGCCCGTTTTTTGCCCAAAAAAAGGAGCATGCATAGACTTTAGGAGGCTTGTAGAGTGCTCTGGGGAGGGGGGAGGCAAAAATGAGCACAAAACAGCCCATTTTTCACTCATGTTTGCCCTCCCCCGTCCCCAGGAGCACTTTGAAGGCCTCCCGAACCCTCTGCATGTCCATTTTTGCAAAGGGGGTGGGGTTTTGGGAGGCCAAAAATGCTGTATTCAGTGTATAAGATGCACCCAGATTTTCACCCTCTTTTGTGTGGGGGGAAAAGGTGCATCTTATACTCCCGAAATTACGGTATATAAATGGTGGCGTCTCCTGGCAGGACCATGGACAGTGGCTCCCTGAAGCTGGGAGATTCTTCTGATGGAACCACATCTCCTCATCTAACCCTTTCCTGGCCACAGTGCGACCTTTGTCATTTCCCAGAGACCTGTTTGGTCTGCTGGATGTTTTTATCTCTCGGGACAGCTGTGATTATCTTGATTTCCCCCATCAGAAGAAGGTCAGGGGGGTCACCAAAGGAAGCATCTGGTGGAAACTGCGACCTTTCCCCATCTTTGCAGAAATTTCAATAGAGGGGTGAGGGTGGAAATGCCCCTTGGCCCTCATTATCTCCAAGTGCTTCTGAAATCACGCCAAGGCAGACCAGGATCGGGACTAGGGGAAGCAGAGAAGAATCAGACTTAAATGCTGTGCAGGAGGACAGTTGCCACTTGGGTGGTCTCCCCATTAATCCCCCTGTCAAATAAAATCATTGATCTGGGCTCCGTGGTTGTTTATTTGTGTGCGTATCTTCCTGGACCAACTGTTTTCCTCTTGGAGGATGAGCTTCGAGCGAGCCTAAGGCAAGGTTTGAAATTAAATCGCTATCAAAGGGAGTAATGATGTGAGGTGAAGTGCCTCAATTGGCCCATCCCAAAACTACGGCTGGGAGGGGAGGGTTCAGGGGTGGGTTCCTGCCAGTTCTAACCTTCTTCTATAGAAGAGGTTTCACAAATCTACAGTGATGTTCCAGCTCCCTCCCCCCGCCCATTTGCATATCATCAAGATGAAGAGCGAGAGGAAGAATTCTGGGAGTTGAAGTCCACAAGTCTTAAAGCTGTCAAGTTTGAACACCCCTGGGGTGTTTTTTTCTAAAGGGTTAGGGGTGCAAGGGTCTTCTGTCTCCAGAACTGAGTGTAGAACTGGGGGTCTTCTGTCCCCAGAACTGAGTGTAGAACTGGGGGTCTTCTGTCCCCAGAACTGAGTGTAGAACTGGGGGTCTTCTGTCCCCAGAACTGAGTGT